AATTGAGGAACAATTTATATACAATAAAAATATGCACTTTAATTATACAGTTTGAGTTTTGGCAGTTGTGTATAGTCATATAACCACCAGCATAATCAAGATATGGAACATTTCCATCTCCCTAAAAAGTTCCCTTGTGCCCCTTTGCAAGTGGATCCCAGATCTGCTATCTGTCACTACAGCCCTTTTTTTTTTAAACTTAGATTTGTGCTAAACAGTAATGTTTATGAATTCAGGGTTTGAGGTATTATTTTTTCCTTAATTCATGTGAAGGTAAATCATATAGTTTTTGGTCACACTTTGGTAGGCTGGTTTAACTGAAGAAAATGTATACAAGAGCTTGATTAAGCATTTGAAAGCTGAGAAAATTTTAAGTGACTGGAGAGCAGTAGTTCCCAGATCTTAGGCCCTAAGATTTTATTTTTCTTCTGCTGTAGTTTCCACTTTTTTTTTTTTTTTTTGCGGTAGGTGGGCCTCTCACTGTTGTGGCCTATCCCGTTGCGAGCACAGGCTCCGGACGCACAGGCCCAGAGGCCATGGCTCACGGGCCCAGCCGCTCCGCAGCGTGTGGGATCTTCCTGGCCCGGGGCACGAACCCGTGTCCCCTGCATCGGCAGGCGGACTCTCAACCACTGCGCCACCAGGGAAGCCCATGTAGTTTCCACTTTTGAAAGGTTATTATAAACAACTTCTCAGTTAATAAACTTTATTAACAAATGATTGTTTATTCCATTACTAATAACTGGATGTTAATTTTCAATAACATCCATTAAAATAGTGTGGGTTCCCCCCCCCAAACTGCAGGTTACATCCTATATATGAGATGTCAAATCAATTTAGCAGGTCATGACCAGCAGTTTTTTTTTTTAATGAAGTAGAATAAAATGATAAATATAATGTCTTCCAAATAATACGGGTAGGAATAGTACCAGTGTTACCTCATAACTAAGTTGATATAATTCTAGCCAAAAGCAAAAAATAAGTGATTTTTTCATTAACCCATGTTGCCTTATTCCAAATAAATGTATAATTTCCTCCTGGCTTGAAAAATAGAGAATTACTTCCTGACCTCCTTTACTATTTTATCTTGCATTTGACTTTCAAATTTTTTCCTCCAACATTTAAATTGTGAGAATTTTAATGATATTTTACCATTACATATATACTATTTCTTCTTCTGATAATGGCAGGATATTTTAATATTTAATATTTAATATCCCACACTGACTGAAAGTGATGGAAATCAACTAGTATAAAAGTGTTGAAAAGATGCTTATCAAAGGATGAATGGTGGGGCTTGTTTTACAAAATGAGCTGTCTAGTTCTGTGACAGTTATCATATGAACAGTTGAATGGTTCTCCTTAGGAGTTTTGAACTTGCTTTAAGCCATGCCATGCATCTATGTTAGACGTAATTGAAGCAAAAATACCGAATCCACTTCATTACACAGAATCAACATAGCTGAAATATAATTTACAAATTTGCAATCTAATGACTAACGGCCTAATAATGGTTTCTGAATCTTCAGTAGTGAACATGTGGTAGTTTTGTAATTAGAAAGTGAACCTGTGGATATACACACTCCATAGGTGCACAGGCTTCAGTAGTTGTGGCACGTGGGCTCCGTAGTTGTGGTTCGTGGGCTGTAGAGTACAGGCTCAGTAGTTGTGGCGCATGGGCCCAGTTGCTCCATGGCATGTGGGATCTTCCCGGACCAGGGCTTGAACCCGTGTCCCCTGCATTGGCAGGCAGATTCTTAACCACTGCACCACCAGGGAAGTCCCAAGGATTATCTTTAAAATGAGACCTTACTTAGCTCTAATTATGGTTCTTGAGACAAGAGCTTTTTCAAAATGTGAGTTGCTTTGTTTACTTTTTTGATGAAATTGAGGAGCAGTATTGCCTAGTGGTCAAGAGCACTGGTTCTAGAGTAGTACAGACCTTGTTTTAAATTCTGGCTCCAAAACATACTAACTCTGTGCCTTTGGGTTAGCCAGGCAGTAATGCATGTAAAGGTGTTAATTAGAGCAAGCAACTCAGTAAGTGTTAGTAATTATTAAGGATCACAAATCTTATTGAGCCCTTTTTCTGTGCCAGATCCTGTGTTAGATGCTAAGGGTTGAAAAAATATGACATTCTTCTGGGAACCTGGCATAGAATACTATTTTTTTTCTTCCCTCAATATTGTAAAACAGCCTCCTTCTAAATACCAAATAATGGACATCTTTATTCAACTTAATTCTTCACTCATTTTGTTTTGTGTCTGGCTGTTACCCTGCTATTATTTATTAACATTTATCACACAAGTACTCTGGCACTGTAACAGGTACTGAGGATACGAAATGCAAATAAGAAAGTAGTTGCTGCCCTTAGTAGAAGTTTATGGAGGCATGGTTTAAGGAACCAATTTATAAATATTTTTCTTAGAGCATTTCTTGACTTAAGGCCTAATATCCTGCAACTGGATAACATTTTATATTTTGGATTATCCCCTTAACACAAGCACGTGAGGGTCTACATCATATTCCCATTTAATTGAGTCAAATTTAACTAAAAGTGCTATTTTCCCTACGCACCCGTTACCCACTCCCCGCTGTCCCCACTTTACTCTCTAAAAGAGAGTAGGATCAAGAGCAATTTAAATGTCAGCCTTTCCATTCAATGAGTGTGTGCTTGCTCTCTCGAGAGACTCAGATGGAGAAATGTGAAGCTGCACTTCCCTCTTGCCTCTCTCAGTGTAAACATCTTGTCATCACATGTGATTCTGGTGTTTAAAAATAAGTATTGTCATATGAAGTGGCTTCTAAACTAAGTCAACTATTTTGTCTATTCTTAACTGAAAAATCTGTTCAATCTTATAGGAGAAGTTAGCCGTGTTGAACTTAGAGGCAGTATGTTGATATCCAATATACCATGCCTTCCTAAGGGGTTTCAGAGGTAATATGACAACCCAAGAATCAAGCTGACTTTAGATTCTTGGTCTTATAAGAGAAGTCAAAATTAGTAGGAGTCTGAATGGCTGCTTTCAAAAAGCATATAATCTAATTGGGGAGAATACCTATAGTGGAAAGATCATCTATAAAACAATTCATAGTAAAGGATGTAAAGAATCGTGAGGATAAATGGCAGTTGCATATTAGAATGGCCCCAGTTTCAAGCCTTCCGTCCTGTTGTCCCCATAGATACAATCATTTGTCAGGCAGTGAGTCCAGATTTTTGGTTTAGGAAAAAATGGTATCGATATCATTAGAGGGGATGTGAACATGTGAAAATGGTTTTATCCATAGGGGTTTCTTGGAAGTAGTGAATTGTGATTTAATAGGTAGTTAGAGGTGGATAAAAGGTACAAGGACATTTCAGATGGGGCAGATGTTATAAGCATGAAACACGGAGGTGTAATTGATCAAGCAAACTGTTTATCTTTTCATTTGGCCAGATGATCAGGGATTGATGTGTCACAGGAGATGAGGGTAGTAAGGACGGTGACCAGCTGACTGAGGAGCAAGATCAATTCTCTTGACCATTATCTGTTCCTCATCCTACTCAGAACTGTTAATGGAGAGCATGGAGACCCTTTTAGATTACTCTCTAACCCATCTGGTGCTTACGTTTAAATCGTGATTTTTATTGGAAACACCTGTTTTTTTTAATGTTTTTTTTTTTTTTTTTCTCGTGTAAAAATTAGATCGGGTGTGGCTATTTGATTATTTTCTAATCTCTTGTAGAATCAGTGTGATGTAATAGAAACAGGCAGAAACACATCAGGAAACCAGGGTTCTGGCACCTCTCTGTCATTTATTAGTTCCATGAGCCTAGGCAAGTCAGTGTACCTCTCTAAGTCTTAGTTTACTCTCCTCTAAAATGTTATACCAGAATCAGAGGTTTTCATGCTTATACTTTTTTTTCTTCTTTTTAATGAAACTTTTTACAAGTGAAACTTTACTCAAAACCCTATTGTTAAAAACAGCTGATCTCCTCAAGGGGGGGGCAGAGAGGTAGCAGCTCCAACTGGCTACCCAACCCCTTCTCCCCAAAGTTCTTTCCAGGAGTCTTAAGGCTGAGAAGAACACAGGTGGGAAATCCCTGGACTAGACCCCTAAGGTCCCTTCTAGAATTAATATTTTCTGATACTTACATTGATAAACAGTAGAATTTCTTTAAAAAATAAACAATTTTGAGGAGGTAACACAGTACTAAAGGTAATATACACTCATTGCACATCTACATTGTGTAAACTATTACGAGGTACAAGAGACAATATGAAGAGAAAAGCAGATAAATACACTTGAAGTGTATTTGAAGAGTAAGGGGGGAACAAGAGAGAGCTTCTGTGATTGTTTATAACCCAATTCATACTATACAGAGATTCAGGGCAACAAGATTGTCTCTCTAAAAATTTTTACGGAGATGTAAGAAGAAAGAAAGGAAAATGAGTGTTTCAATTCTGCAAGAATTTTTAAAAATTTGTTTCGTTTATGTTTTGAATGGGAGATAGATGTACACGTGGTACTAAAATCCAAAAGGACCAAAAGGATATGAACTAAAAAGACTCCCTCTGACCCCTGTAGCCATTCTTTGGAGGCAATCACTATGGCTAGCTTGTGTAAGCGTCCCAAAGTTTTTAGAAGCACTTGCAGATGTTTGAGCGTATTAGTCTCCTGGGGCTGCTGTAACAAATGAGCACAAACTGGGTGGCTTAGAACAACAGAAATACATTCTCTCTCAGTCCTGGAGGCCAGAAGTTTGAAATCACTGTCGCGGGGCTGAAATCAAGGGCTGGCAGGGCTGCGCTCCCTCCAGAGGCTTGGGAGGAGTGTCCCTTCCTTTCTTGTTCCAGCTTATATTGCTTGCCAGCCATCCTTCCCTGTTTGGTGGCTCCATCACTCCAGTTTCAAGGCCAGCATCTTCAAATCTCTCTCTGCTCTGTCTTCACATAGTCTTCTCTCTCTGTGTGGTCTCCCTCCAATTCTCTCATGTGGATACATGTGATTGAATTTAGGGCTCACCTGGATGATTCAGGGTAATCGTGCCATCTCAAGATCCTTAATCACATCTGCAAAGACTTTGTCATATAAGGTAATGTTCACAAATTCCAGGGATTAGGATGTGAATATCCTTTGGGGGGCTATTTTTCAGCCTACTACAACAGTAAAATGAATAGTATACTATACATACTTTTCTGGACCTTGCTTCTAATAGTGAACAACTGAAATAACCTAAGGGTCCATTAATTCAGGACTGGTTCAGTAAATTATAATACATCCATCAGATGCAAAAAGGTGTAACCACTAAGAGGAATGAAGTAGACCTGCTGACATGGAACCATATTCACTATAAAGCAGAAAAAAGCAATTTGGAGAGGTGCATATGAGCAAAGTGAAACTTTGGAGAGATACGTCATACTTAAAAGTGGCCTCCCCTGGGGAGTGGGACTTTTTTATGTTATACCTTTGTACTGTTGGAATTTTAAAATCAAACATGTTCTTTAATAATGCAGGTATTTTATAATAAATCCAGAAGAAAATGGACTTGCATTTAGTTTTTCTGGATAAATTATGTTGCAGAAGTAATAGAGGGTTGTTAAAATTTAACCTTTTGAAAATTTGTTTCCCAGATAGCAGACCCTACACTAGCTGAAATGGGAAAAAACTTGAAGGAGGCCATGAAGATGCTAGAGGACAGTCAGAGGTGAGCCTGTGGAACAGAAGTGACCCATTAAATGTGTTCAACTTGCTGTGAAACTGGCAGCACTAGTTTCCTTCTGTTAAAGACACCTCTTGGTCTGTCATACAGAGTGAAGTAAGTCAGAAAGAGAAAGACAAATACCGTATGCTAACACATGTATATGGAATCTAAGAAAAAAAAATGTCATGAAGAACCTAGGGGTAAGACGGGAATAAAGACACAGACCTACTAAAGAATGGACTTGAGGATATGGGGAGGGGGAAGGGTAAGCTTGACAAAGTGAGAGAGTGGCATGGACATATATACACTACCAAACGTAAGGTAGATAGCTAGTGGGAAGCAGCTGCCTAGCACAGGGAGATCAGCTCGGTGCTTTGTCACCACCTAAAGGGGTGGGATAGGGAGGGTGGGAGTGAGGGAGACGCAAGAGGGAAGAGATATGGGAACATATGTGTTATGTATAACTGATTCACTTTGTTATAAAGCAGGAACTAACACCATTGTAAAGCAATTATACTCCAATAAAGATGGAAAAAAAAAGACACCTCTTGGTTTCAGAATGTCACACTTAGCTTCAGCTGAATTTAAAATTGGTATTTGTCTTGGGTATAAGGTGCTTTGTAATTAAAGGATTTTGAAATTAAGGGACAGGACTTATAATTTTCAGTCCTGCCTACTAAGAGTTTCATTTATTTAATATATTGACTTGAATCTATAAATACTTCTTACTGTATATTCAGGTCATATAGGGCATCAACTAACCAAGAAGTGGCTTGAAGTAGTATTATATTTTTAATATTATTTTCCTGAAACTAAACCCTACCCCAGCCTGGAGGCTGGGACGAGAAGGCGAGATGTGTGTTTCAAATCTCATATCAGTTACTAAGAGGTTGTAAGCAACATTATCACATGTTCATGCTCAAATGTTAGAAGGTTAACAGTTTTTTATTTCGTTTAAATTAGAAGAACAGAGGAGGAAAATGGAAAGAAGCTCCTATCAGGGGATATTCCAGGGCCACTGCAAGGCAGGTAGGTGGCAATGAAGATAAGTACCTTTACTTAGGGTGTACACTTTCTTTAAACCAAGATTTTACCATCACTGACTTACAATTTTAGTTTTAATGAGCACAAAGCAAATTGAGAGTTATATGTAGTGTAACAGAAAACTGAAATGCCATTGGTTGGTTGGTGATAACGCTAAACCTACTGTTTCTCCCCCTTTCCCGTTCAGAGTTTAACACAACCTCGTAACTCAAAAGTGATACGCAAACTCATAATTATAACTCAACTATCACACTTGATTCATCCTTGAAACCAGTAATCTATTTGGTAGACTGAGCTTTATTGTGAGAGTTATTTTAACTTGATAAGATTTATCATTTTATTATATAGTAAATGAAAGGAAAATGTCAACTCTAATTTATTAGCAGAGTGGTTTATTTTTTGGCAACTAAAGCAGATCTGTCAAGTGTTTGTGACTGGAGCTATCAGGGAAGAAGTCAGAAAAATAAGTAGTTATCCAACTAACATTTTCACAGGATGTTAGCATTCAATCTGGAGTTATCTGGAGTTAAAGTCCCAGCCCAGTTTCCCTCAGACAAACTTATTATTTTTTTTATAACCAGGAAACTGTACGTAGGTAAATAGTACAACTCCCTTAAGTTGTCCTTTGACCTGAATATAAATATGTACAATAAGTATGTTGCAAAAGAGTAGTATAGAGGAAGGATCCCAGTGTGCCAATAAATGTCACATCTAACACACCCAGATACTAATTTTTTTTTTGGCTGCGTTGGGTCTTCGTTGCTGCGCACAGGCTTTCTCTAGTTGCAGCAAGCAGGGGCTACTCTTTGCTGCAGTGTGCTGGCTTCTCATTGCAGTGGCTTCTCTTGTTGCAGAGTACGGGCTCTAGGCACACGGGCCTCAGTAGTGTGGCTCGCTGGCTCTAGAGCACAGGCTCAGTAGTTGTGACGCACGGGCTTAGTTGCTCTGCGGCATGTGGGATCTTCCCAGACCAGGACTCGAACCCGTGTCCCCTGCAGTGGCAGGTGGATTCTTAACCACTGTGCCACCAGGGAAGTCCTCAGGTACTAACATTTTAAAATAAGCACTCCTGCTTGTAGATGAAGGGTGCTGACTTGAAGTCCTCTACGGGTGAAGTTCATTCTCCAACTGAGAACAGGAACCAAATCTTGTAAGTCTCCTCATCCCAGGCCTACTGAAGGGAATTAAAGCGTTCCACTCATCCCACAGAAGTTTCCCTAGAAGACATACTACCAAGAACATCCGTAATTCTCGGAGTGGGAGGGCATTAATGTCACCGTCAGGAGTACTCACACTAATAATGCTAATAGCCAGCGCCTGAGATAGCAGTTCCCCAGGCGTGGCATTCGGTGCTTTCCGTGGACTAACAGCATCCTCACAGTTGTATAATGTAGGGCTTCATGAGTTTCAGTAGCTTGCTCAAGGTCATGTGGCCTCATCTCTACACAATGTCCAAGGATCAGAGTCCCTCACACGTGAAGGTCAGCACCTTGAGGAGGATAGGTTTGGGGACATTGTTTTGATGGTGCTTTTTGAAAAGAGATAACTTTTTTTTTTGGGGGGGGGCTGCATTGGGTCTTCATTGCTGCGCATGGGCTTTCTCTAGTTGCGGCGAGCAGGGGCTACTCTTTGTTGCAGTGCGCAGGCTTCTCATTGCAGTGGCTTCTCTTGTTGTGGAGCACAAGCTCTAGGCGCACGGGCTTCAGTAGTTGTGGCTTACGGGCTCTAGAGCACAGGCTCAGTAGTTGTGGCACACGGGCTTAGTGGCTCCACGGCATGTGGGATCTTCCTGGACCAGAGCTCGAACACATGTCCCCTGCATTGGCAGGCGGATTCTGAACCACTGTGCCACCAGGGAAGCCCGGAAGAGAGAACTTTTTATTAGTCACATTCTCATTAATAACGTGATAGTATTTTGACATCACATGTTTTACAAGTTGCCTTGCCATTGCTTAGAACTTCACCTTTCACATTCTTCTCATAAGTTTCCACCTCCTCATGTGACGAGCGTTTAAAAACATATCTTGGATAGAAGTTAGTGTTTACACTGCAAGCGAATCTGCAGTTTCCCCAGCTTGGGGAAGAGGTAATAATAAGTCATGCTTGCATTTCATGTTTAGCTCTGTTAGAACAAACAGACAAGACTCCCACATGGAGGGAAGCTAGATACACCAGTGGCATTGGAGTATTCTTGCTGCTTTTGTGACCTTCCAACAGCTTATAAGGACTACTTCGGCCCTTATTACATGCTTATTAAATAGTCTCCAAGATTCAAATGAACAGGTAGAGAAATATTGCTAAAGCTGGTGAAATTTTTAAAAATCAAATTAATATTTAGGCAGAAGATTAATCACAAGTAAGGTTACATTCAGAATTCAGTTGATAATTTGAGGTTTGTTTTTAAAATGATGTATACCGTATCTCAAAACACATTATTTCTTTCGTAGCTCCTCAGTTAAAAAAGAAAACATGTCAAGCTAGTTTAGACGAGAGAAAATAGTGAGAGACTGGTGAGGGATGTGTGCTGTTTCCACCTGTTTGTCAGCTGTTTTTCTGTTCCGCAGTGGACAGGACATGGTGAGCATCCTCCAGTTAGTTCAGAATCTGATGCACGGAGATGAAGATGAGGAGCCCCAGAGTACCCGGTAATGGAGAACAGTTGGCAGCTTCTGTTTGAAAGTATATGTGTTCTTGATTTTGATAATGATTGCATTCTCACAAGTTGCTGCAGTAATAAGCTATATTTAATTCCTAGTTACGTGTGATATTAAAATGATGTTCAGTTTCTTCAGAGAGACATTGACATATTTTAGATAATATATTTTGTAAAAGGAAGTCATTTACTAAAATCTTGTCGTTTTTATGGTCTTGTGTCTTAGGGAGGGGCTGGCACAGGGGCCAGAGAATAGCTGCTGTGTGCTTTTCTGTTTCTGACTGCTTCTGCTCCTGTGCTTCCGCCTCTGATTGCTGAGAAGTGCTGCAGCTGAATTCGTTGGTGGCAGGCCACTTTGTCTGTGAATCATCTGTTTATTTTATTTCTGTTTATGCATCTGTCAAGCAATTTATTTAGTTTCATTTTCTGTTTAATAGTTTTAAATTTAATTTTTTTGGAGTAAGTAATTCATTCTTCCAGTTCAAATTTCAAAAGATAGAAAGGGTGTATACACAAAGGCAATTTTCCTTCTTACCTCTGCCTCCCTACCTTGTTCTCCTTCCTAGAGATAAGTTGCCAGTTTCTTGTGTATTCGTCAGAGATACTTCATGTGTATGTACACCCAATCAAAATGTCTGTGCTCACCCCCTCCAGTACCTAAATACTATGCATGTTTTTCTGTGACTTGCTTTTTTCATTTATGTCTTGGAGTTTCTGGCATAGCAGTATACAAGGAGCTTTCTCCTTTAAGAGCTGTTTAGTGTTACTCTAAATGGATGAGCCATATTTTATTTAACTAGTCTCCTTTTCATGTTTTTCTCTTACGAACATTCCTACAGCCAGTAACTCTGTACATGTGTCATTTCTCATAGAAGTGTTTCTGTAGATTAAAGTCCTAGAAGTGGGATTGCTGGGCCAGATAAGTTTGTGCATTTGTAAATTTGACAGATATTGCCAAATTTCCGTTCGTGGAATTGTGCCAATTCACATTCTCACCCATAATGTGTGAGAGTACATCTTTCCCCACACCTTTGCCTGAAAGGGTATTAGCAGACTTAAGGATCGTTGCCAGTCTGATAGGTGAGAAATGATATTTCAGCATAGTTTTAGTTTGCATTTTTCTTATGAACCAGATTAAGTGTCTTTTTGTATGTTTTAAGACCCATTTATATTTCCTATTCTATGAACTGTCTCCTTTGCCCAGTATCCTGTCAATTTTTTGTTTTTTTCTTTTTACATTTATTCTTTATAAGGGAAATTAGTCCATCCACTTTAATAATATGTAAAACAATACCTAGTTCCCCTTGAATGTGCTGTGTTGTTATAAATAGCTATTTAATGCAGGGAATTGATCTTCGTCTGTTGATTATTAAATTTTCTGCACATTTTAGCTCTACTCTCCATAGTTCTTCAACTGGTATTTAATTTAAAAACCTTTTTTGGAGAAAATTATTCAAAAACAGTTTGTGTATTTAGTTGGTATTGAATAAAAAGGATATTTATCTCCTAGGACTTGAATTTAAAAAAAAAATTTCCCCCCAAACTATTAATACCTTATGCATTGAATTTTCTAAATGTATCTCAGTGTCTGCCTTCTAGGCCATTAAATGCATTTCAAGTCTGACAGAAATTTCTGTGGAATAATGTGTCTCTGTGTTTTATTTATTTATGCTTTGACTAATACTTTTTTTTTAATCTAATAAATTTTGATTAACAGAATCCAGAATATTGGAGAACAAGGTCATATAGCTTTGTTGGGGCACAGTCTGGGAGCTTACATTTCAACTCTGGACAAAGAGAAGCTGAGAAAACTTACAACTAGGATACTTTCAGACACTACCTTATGGCTATGCAGAATTTTCAGGTAATAAGTTTTTGGTTTCTGGTAAAGACATTTATGTGTTGGGTATAGACTGTGAGAGATCTATTTTCTGGAGCTATGCTACCTGGGTTCAGCTCTGCCTCTTCCCTTTCCTCTTGGAAGCGTTGCTTAACCACTCCATGCCTCAGTTTCCTTATCTATGAAATGGGGATAGCCTTAATATCTATTTGATGACATTGTTGTGAGGATTAAATGAACTAATGAATTAATACATGTAAAGAGCTGAGAACATGAGCACATACATGTTGGATAATGTCCACAGTTACTTGTTCTTAAGATTCCTAATTGGCACATGTTGATAGAAGGTACAGCAGTGGAATAGGTTCAAGTATTTTTAATCAAAGTATTAGCTGTGCTTTAGTAAAAAGGAAATGCTGTCATAAGGAAGATGAGTATGTGTTATGAAATTGAAATTTGCTTTATACTGTGATAATATTGGCATTATTAAGGAATTCTAGCAGACTAAGGAGTCAGTAGAAGAAATGGGACCAATGGTATTTTGTGTTTATTTATGGAAAAGGAATGTTTACCTAACGTTGGAACATTTAACTTGGGAGACTTATTTTCAGATGCTGGGAAAGAGCTTGACCTGGCGAGAGTATGAATTTGCCTAACTGTATGGCAAAGGAGAAATTTTCTTCTGTTCTAATAAAAATCCAATACCTGTAACTGAAAATCTCTCTGTCCTTCTTTTTGGAGAATGAGAAGAATAAAATGTCCCAGGCAGATATTAGCGAAAGCAGAAGTTAGCCTGACTAGCATTTTTGACAGTTTTACTTAACTTTGGATGTTTTAGGGCTGAAACTACTAAGAACCATGCCTGCATTATCCAGTGCTGGCTTTATTGTAAAGTAAGCCAGTCCATGATCTTCAGCCTTTTTATATCTGAGGGATTCCCGTTCTCTACTGGTTTTCATAGTTTCTGCTCTTTCTGGAGCTGGGTGTGGATGAGGGGTCATTGCCTCTGTTCTTTATAACCTCCAGCTGTAGTGAGGTGTCAGCCCACTGAGATGAGGGTGATTCCTATCTCCTTTCACTGAGATAGGAATTGAGAAAAGAATTACTTCCATGGTTATAAGACTGGGATATAATACCAGAGATAAGAACATACTGACATATGGGTGTCTCTTAACAGGTATGAAAATGGCTGTGCTTATTTCCACGAAGAAGAAAGAGAAGGACTTGCAAAGATCTGTAGGCTTGCCATTCATTCCCGTTATGAAGACTTTGTGGTGGATGGGTTCAATGTGTTATATAACAAGATGCCTGTTATATATCTAAGTGCTGCTGCTAGGCCTGGCCTGGGCCAGTACCTCTGTAATCAGGTAATGTGGCATAAGGTGGATATTTTAAAGAAACGATGTTTTGTTCTGTCCTGGAAGTTTTTCTTCAGCTGCTGTTTTTTTCAAGTGAAAAGAAAGGTGATTTTCTTATAAGCTTGTTTTGTCATTATTATGTATAAATGTGTATTAATACATTTAGATATATATATGTATATGTATTTTTTTTTTAGTTGCCCAAAGGCAACCACAGTCAACACGTTACTTTATTTCCTTTCAGACTTGGCTTAATCAGAGTGTATGTGTGTTTTTACATAGCTATAGCTGGCTTTTTTCACTTACCGTTATACAGGTTCATATCATGTTTTACCAGTTCTCCAAAGTAAAGTATGTTTTTAATATCTTCATAATATTCCTTCAAGTGAGTATATAGTATTTTAACTGTTTCCCTTTTGGGCAATTAGAGTGTTCGCATTCTTTTGCTTTTTATGACCATTTTGAGGAAGTGCTCTTTGTATAGTGCTTTTATGGACATCTTTGTGCATGAAGCTTTTCTATACTTTGGGTTGTATTCCTCAGATGGATTTTCAGAGCCAGTCTAGAATTATTAGATCAAAGAGCATTACCTTTTTTTCTTTTTTTTTTTTTTTTTTTTTATTACCAGTTTTTAAAGTTCATGGTAGCCTGATTACGGGGCTACCTTGAGTCAAGAACTTGTTAAGTCTCTTGGCCAAGAACGTTTTAAAGTAAAACCCATAGGATTGGAGGGGTTGTCTTTTGTAAGATGGAGGAGTCCAGGGAGATACATAGGGGAAACTCAGGGCTTAAGTTGATTCTGAGCTGTGGTCATTGGTGGCAAGAAATTATGTCCTCTTCTTGAGGGTGTACAAAATAAGGAGTTTTATAGTATCTCTGTAGAAACATGAAACAAATTACTTATTGAGTACCTACTGTAGGCCAGGCTCTTATGGACCCAGAGCTGTCTTGGAACAGCAGTCCAATCTGCAAAAGATGTGTGAGAGTGTTCTGTTAAGTGGGAAAGGTAGGTGGCAGAATAGTCATGTGCATGTTTTAAAAAGTGTGTACATGCTTATATGCATATGTTTTTTATACCTAGAAAAATATATAAATATATATATTTTTGCCTAGCAATTATCTGCAAGGTTCTATACTAACCTATTAACAGTAGTAGATTGGTGGCTTATGGGGGGGGATTTTCACTTTTAATTTCTATAATTTTTTATTGTGTGTTTTACTTGGGTTTCACTTTCATAATTTAAAAGAAAAATTCTTTAAGGGGATAAAGTGTGAATAAATTGCTTGTTAAATTTTTGGTCTTTAAATGCTTCCAAGTTTTAGTTATACAGAGCAATATGCTGCAAATGTTAAAAAAAATTCCTAAAACATATACTCCTTAAGGATTTGGAAGCTAAAAATGAGGAATATAAAATTTATTTGACAATTACTGTCTCCATAACGCTGACTTCATTTCTCTCAAGATATGTACATCTGCTAGTCCATATCTGTTGCTTTTTAGGAATGGGTGGACCCATAAATAAGATATTGTACTTTGAATGCCTTTAGCCGGTGTTATTTACCACTTATCCTTGGAGGAAGGATTCTAAATTATCCCCCCAAATGCTCATATTAAGAGTTCCTAAGGAGAGAGAATATTTAAAAAGAATAATTGTGACTTAGAGCCACAATCTTTTGGGGACATAAGGGAATGGTGACAAAGATCTTTCTTGTAAAATTGCATGTTTCTTCTTGCAGCTTGGCTTGCCCTTCCCCTGCTTGTGTCGTGTACCCTGTAACACTATGTTTGGATCCCAGCATCAGATGGTGAGTTCTTTAGGTTTATAAAATAATAAAGAATTGTGTTTTGAAACCGTACCTTCCTTTAAACTGCAGTTCTATTTGCTGGCCTCCAGATAATTATTAGGTTATTCACGGATTGCTTAGATCTTCCTGTTGCATAATACATGCTGCCAGGTTTGAATGTCCAGGAAGATTGGCTGGCATAAAGGTGAGGAGCACCTGGCTCTTAAGGAATCTTGTAGTCACTGTATCACCTGTTTTAAGTAGAAACATGGAGTCCAATTAAGCCTCAGAAATTCCTTCTAAAGCTCATTCTTTCAAATGGTTATCACTGTTGCCTGGATTTATGAATGGGCAGATTTTGATTATTGTAATCCTTGGCATTGGATTCTGCTTATTTTTAGACATGCAAGTGATAAGCCTTTCCATACTGAGGTCAGAAGCAAAAGGGATAGGTTTTAGGGTTCTGCATCTCTTTTTTTTCTTTTTCTTTTCTTTTTTTTTTTTTTTTTTGCCATACGCGGGCCTCTCACTGTTGTGACCTCTCCCGTTGCGGAGCACAGGCTCCGGACGCGCAGGCTCAGCAGCCATGGCTCACGGGCCCAGCCGCTCTGCGGCATGTGGGATCTTCCCGGACCGGGGCACGAACCCTTGTCCCCTGCATCGGCAGGTGGACTCCCAACCACTGCGCCACCAGGGAAGCCCTCTGCATTTCTTTTTCAAGGTAGTTAGATTTTCTGGTTCAGATACGTCAATGAGTAATATCAGAGATACATTTTTGGTTGTTTTTGGTGGGGGGGTTTGAGAGAACATTTTTTTTTATTGTAAATGTTTAAAACTAGAGAAATGTTGGTTCTGTATGTCCAGTTTCTAACTTTAATCTCATTTAACTGATTTTTCTAGTTTTCAAGGAAAACGATTTTATTTTCACAACTATGATTGGAGAAAAAAGGAAAATTGTCAAGAAAAGAATTGCTCTGATAAATTTTGAGAGTCATCTGCTTCTTTTAGAAGTTATAATTTTTCAGTGTATACTCTTTTGTGTGGGTTGTCTCATGTTTTTGTGGTTTGTCTTTCAATCCCAGGACGTTGCCTTCCTGGAGAAACTGATTAAAGATGACATAGAACGAGGAAAACTGCCCCTGTTGCTTGTTGCAAATGCTGGTAGGTATCATGAACCTGAATCTTCCATTTTGGACATACAAGAAAGAGGCTAGATAGCCTAAAAGAGATCAAGTCTTAAGAATGTTTGTGTGCCACATGTTTAAGGAAGTCGGTATCAGCACTGTGGTGAGAATTACAGTACTAAAGTTTTAGCTCATTAGATTCCCTTAATTGTTGGTTTGTTTTGGGAGTTCTTGTTTGTGTGTATACTTTTTCATTTAGGTTGTGCTTCTCTATTCTTTCATATGCTTCCTCTCTAAATTGAATTTTTTTTTTTTTGGCTGTGTTGGGTCTTCGTTGCTGCACGCAGGTTTTTCTCTAGTTGCAGCGAGCAGGGGCTATTCTTTGTTGCATGTGTGGGCTTCTCATTGTGGTGGCTTCTCGTTGCAGAGCACGGGCTCTAGGTGCACAGGCTTCAGTAGTTGTGGCATGTGGGCTCAGTAGTTGTGGCTCGCGGGCTCTAGAGCGCAGGCTTAGTAGTTGTGGTGCATGGGCTTAGTTGCTCCGTGGCATATATGGGATCTTCCTGGCCCAGGGCTCAAACCCGTGTTCCCTGCATTGGCAGGTGGATTCTTAACCACTGTGCCACCAGGGAAGCCCTAAATTAAATTCTTAAATGTCACATTTAAATGTCCACCTTTGAGACAGCTGGTCAGCTACCACTTTCTGCTGTGCTCACCACATTGTATTCAGCATTGTACTTGAAGCTCTAGATAGTGGAGCAAGGCAAGAAAAATAATTAAATGACATACAGTTTGGAAAGGAAGAATAAACTGTCTTTATTTGCAGATGGCATGATTGTATAGGTAGAAAGTCCTAAGGAAACCACAAAGAACAGCCATTGGAACTAATAAGCAGATCTATCAAGCTTGCAATGAACAATTGAAATTTAAATGCCATTCATAATAGCATCAAGAAAAAAACCTTTATGGATAAATTTAACAAAATAAGGCAAGATATGTACACTGAAAACTACAGAATGTTGCTGAGAGAAATTCAAGAAGACCCAAATAAATGGAACAATATGGCATGTGCATGGGTTGAAAGACGCAATATTATTAAGTCATATCTCCCCAAATTAACCTGTAGATTCAACTCAATTCTTAACAAAATCTCAGCAGACTTCCAATTTCTTATAGAAATTGATGAGCTGATTTTAAAATTTATATGGACATAAAAGGATCTAAGAAGAGACAAAATAATTGTGAAAAAGAACAACACTGGAAGACTTATCCTATCTGACTTTTAGACTTACTGTGCAGCTACAAATAAAAGAGTGTGAGATTGGGCTTCCCTGGTGGTGCAGTGGTTGAGAGTCCACCTGCCAATGCAGGGGACACCGGTTCGTGCCCCAGTCCGGAAAGATCCCACGTGCTGCAGAGCGGCTGGGCCCGTGAGTCGTGGCCGCTGAGCCTGTGGGTCCGGAGCCTGTGCTCCGCAACCGGAAAAGCCACAGCAGTGAGAGGCCTGCGTACCGCCAAAAAAAAAAAAAGAAAAGAAAAAGAAAATGGAAAGGCAAATAACAGACTGGGAGAAAATATTTGCAAAATGTTTTTCTGACAAAAGACTATATCCAAAATATATAAGGAAGTTTTACAATTCAATATTTTGGAGGTAGACAGTACAGTTTTTAAAGTGAACAAGAGATTTGAGTAGAAACTTTGCCAAAGAAAATATATGAACGTATAAGCACTTGAAAAGATGCTTAGAGAAATGCAAAATAAAACCACAGTGAGCTACTACTATATATCTGTTAGAATGGAGAACATAAAAAAATACAATGCCAAACACTAGTGAGGATGCAGAGTAACGAACTATCCCTTCAGTTAGGGATGCAATATTCCTAACTGAAAACAACCCAGATGCCCTTCCCTTGATGAATGGATAAACAAATTGTAGTATAAACATATCATGGGATACTAAGCAATAAATGGAAATAACTACTGATCACACATATCAACACAGATGAATTTCAGAAGCATTCTAAGTGCCAAAATCCAAACATGAAAGAAGTTACATAGTATATGATCCGTTTATATGAAATTCTAGAAAGATAAAACTACAGTGACAGAAAACAGATCACAGTTTTCTGGGGCCAGTGAGGAGTAGAGAGAAGGGTGAAAATTCAGGGGGGATGAGGGAACTTTTGGTGTGATGGTGGTTGCACACTGTATTTGTCAGAATTCGTTGAACCATACCCTTAAATGAGTGGATTCTATTGTATGTAAATTATACTTCAATCAGTAAAGCTAATTATTTAAAAAAATAATAATAAACAGAAAAAGCACATATCCACCTTGTTGCCAGCAGAAAAACTACCACTTCCTGTCTGCCTTAGTATATTGTATGTTTAAAAAGAAACATAGGGCTTCCCTGGTGGCGCAGTGGTTGAGAGTCCGCCTGCAGATTCAGGGGACACGGGTTCGTGTCCCGGTCTGGGAAGATCCCACATGCCGCAGAGCGGCTAGGCCCGTGAGCCATGGCCGTTAAGCCTGCGCGTCTGGAGCCTGTGCTCCGCAACGGGAGAGGCCACAACAGTGAGAGGCCCATGTACTGCAAAAAAAAGAAAAAAGAAAGAAACATAACCAGTCTACTATCAATCACTTAATAGATGGGAGAGGCTGCAGTTTACACGTGATTGAGTGGTTTACCAGTGTGACTACATTGCCGTCACCAGAGTGCACGTCCCAGTGGTTAGCAAGCGGGCGTTGCCAAAAAAGGAAGGGAGCCTGAATGTGGTCCAGTCACTTAAACACGGCACAATGCTTTATGTTTTGATGGCTCATGTGACACAACCCATGTGTTGGCCTTTGATCTTGTTTCAACTAAACTAAATGTGTCATTTTAGATTTTTTTTTTAAATTTGAGACAAATTTGGGTGGGGGGAGGAGTGGAGTTGTCAGCCCTTTTCCTGGCATAACCCCTGCAAAAGAAGCACTTGTATTAGTTGTGTTTGTTGATGAGCGTTAGAAATCTTGTTAGGTGGGTTCTGCTAACTGGAAATTTAGGACAGTTGGGAGAATGTGTGACTGTGCATTTTACTAAAGGCTCTGTGAGGAGGATCTGCCCAGCAAAGCCTGCAGTGTAAACAGATCACCTAGGGAATGGGTTAAAGTGTGTAATATGTTTCAACTGACTTCAGAATGCTTTCTATATTAAAACAAAATACCTCTCGGGAATTCCCTGGTGGTCTAGTGGTTAGGATTCTGCACTTTCACTGCCATGGCCTGGGTTCAATTCCTGGTCAGGGAACTGAGATCCCGCAAGCCGTGCAGTGCAGCAAAAAACAAAAAACAAAACAAACCAAAAAACCACAAAGGACCTCTAAAATTTGGTTAAAACAAACAAAACAAATTCATCTATGTATTTTTTATAGAGAGCACACCTAAATAAAAATAACCCAGAAAGTGATAAAAAGTAAGTGTGGAAAAGGGATATCTTGGGCAAATGCTAATGAAACACAAGTACTGTAGCAAGGTTGCTGTGAGATAAAATAGACTTCATATTAATAATAATTCATGACATCTACTCAGAGATATAACAGGTATGAATGCTTATGAATATAACTTTGAAATATATAAAGGAAAAGTTGATAGAATACAAGTATAAATTGACAAAACCACAATCTTGGTGGGAGACTTGAATATATTTCTCATGAAACAACAGATCAAGTAAATAGAAAATAAGTATATAGAGGATTTAAATAACACAGTTAACAAGTTTGACTTTATAGATACATATAGTGAACAATACACACTCTTCAAAACTTGAATAGCCAGTTTGCAAAAGTTGATTTTAAGCCAGTCCACAAAGAAAAGCTCAATAAAACAGAGATACAATGTTACTTCTCTCATAGGGAGATAATGTATATAGAAGCTTTTATCATGCTGCAAAGACTCAGAAAATATTTGTTTTAGTATCCTTTCTTGTGTGTTTTATCCTAGGAACTGCAGCAGTAGGGCACACAGATAAGATTGGGCGTTTGAAAGAGCTCTGTAAGCAGTACGGCATATGGCTCCACGTGAAAGGGTGAGTGGAGGGGAGTTTGGCTGCATGGTGGGCTGGCAGAGTGCCCAGGAGGAGCTCACTTTGTCGTCACATATATCACTAAGGGCTCTTTGGCTTGCAGATTACAAAATTACCCAAATTGGCTTAAGCAAGAAGTTTTATTGGCTCCCATAGCTAAGAAGACCAGTGTTAGGATTGGCCTTAGGCACCACCTCAGCCAGGTCACTTGGCTGAAGTTCCTCCATGGTGGTGGCTCCGTCTGTAGATAGCCTTTCCTGTTCTGGTGCAGAGTTGCTGCAGCAACTCCATCCACCTTTCCAGGTGTGTGCAGAGGGTCAGACGTCCCAGCAGGAGTCTCATGCTGAGCCAATTGCTGTGGCGAGGGAAATGTAACACTCTTAATAGTTTAGGTGATTTGTGAAGCTGTGGTCTCATAGAGGAGATTGGGGTGGCTTCCCAGAAGGCCATTGGACTGCTGCTAAGAGAAGAGAGGGGAGAGGATGCAGGGCAGCCCAAGTAGTCCATTTCCAGGACATCATACATGTACACGGTGCGTTCCTTTTTAATATTGTCCCTCTGGGAAAGAATGATGACTGGGAAATAATACTGGTATCTACCAAAGATATAAAATAATATAAAATAAGACACCCATTACACTAAGTAAGTAGATGTCACCCCCTGAAATACATTTTGATTAAAATGCATTTTCCAGGTTTTCCTGAAAGTTGTATATGTACCACACTTTATGTTGCTGTTATAAAAGCTACCAACACAGCTGAAAGACATGTAAATGTCAGTGTGGAACAGCACAGCCCTTTTTAAAAAAATTTTTAAAATTTAAAGTGTGTACTTAGTGAATAAGCAGCAGTAAATAATTAGTTCTTAGGTCTGTGTTTTTTCTTCCAGTGTGAATCTGGCAACATTGGCTCTAGGTTATGTCTCCTCATCAGTGCTGGTATGTTGTTGATTTACTAAATACTGTGTTTTTAAGAAGGAATTTAACATCACTTAATGCCTGATGGCTTTTCACAGTTTTTATGAATGGAGAAAGGTGTTGGGTTTAGTGTATCCTGATAGTGTAACAAGAAGTTGTTCTCTCTGTGGTAGGCTGCAACCAAATGTGACAGCATGACGTTGACTCCAGGCCCATGGCTGGGTTTGCCAGCAGTTCCTGCTGTGACGCTTTATAAGCACGACGATCCTGCCTTGGTAAGCTTACTCCCACTGGGAGGGAGTGGGGAGTGGCTAATAATCATTGGGCCTGGGGGCAAAATACAGAAAAAGGAAAAAGTGAACATTTTCCTTAATGTTACCTCTGTGACTTTTTGTTTTTAAAAAATGTTTTTAACATAAATGAAACTATGCCATATATATTTTTCTATTTAGTCTCCCCATACTACCCCATGTGTATGAAAAACTTTTTATCACTGTGTAATATTCCATCACTTGAGTACCACAGTTATTTAATCATTCTCCATTTGTGAACTTTTAGGCTGTTTTCAAATTCTTGTTACTAAAATAATGAGCATCATTCTGTGTTTCAAATTATTCCTTAGACTGGGTTCCCAGAAGTGGAATTAATAATGAGTAAGAGTATTTTAACGTTCTTGATCCACATTGTCTAAAAGGTTGTAACATGATATAGTTTTTAAAAGCATAGTGGTGGTTCTTGTTAGTGGATCAGTTAGTGAGAGGCACATGCAAAATAAGCTTTCATTGATTCTTCTTAAACAGTTAATACCTTGCTCGGGTGATAATGGCCAGGTGTTTGAGGATACTCAGAACAGCCTTGGGAGGGGCCGCCTCTTGAATGGCTAAGAGCTCCAGCTCTGGGATGAAACCATTTGGATTCTCATCCTGGCTTTGCCACATCTTAGCCGTGAACCCTTAGACAAAGCAAGGTCTCTGAGCTAAGTTGCCTAGAATACTTACCTCATGGAGTTGTTTGATGATCAAATGAATAATGCAAGCCAAGTGCCTGCGTAGCATCTGACACAAACCAAGTGCATAGTAAATGGTAACTAGTTAGTTCTGCTATGTGATTTCATTGGCTTTGATTAATAAACCCATATTGGCTTTTTTAGACTTTAGTTGCCGGTCTTACATCAAATAAGCCAACAGACAAGCTCCGTGCCCTGCCACTGTGGTTGTCCTTACAATACTTGGGACTTGATGGGATTGTGGAGAGGATTAAGCATGCCTGTCAGCTGGTGAGTAGAAACCTGAAGTTCAAATGAGTCACAGATACTCCATGGCAAAAACAGAGACAGAAAAATGCTTCATTGATTTACCCTCCCCCCAATACCTTGTTGTCTGGATTTCCCATCTCATAAGCAAGCAGACTAATTTCCCTGCATATATAGGTTTCTTGTTCAAAGTTCTGGGAGAGACTGCTGGGGCTGTCCCAGCATTTGTGTCCATATGAAATCAGATTAAAATGAATGCCGGTGTCAGCATGGGGGAGAAAAGAAGTCCCAAGGTGACAGCGAAGGAGTGGAGAAGAATGCAGAAGCCGGGATAAATGTTCCACTTGACTGACCGACTCTTGAGGGTAAAGAAATACGATGGTTGGGGGGAGTAAGGCTGGCATGGATATTTTTAACACCCACCGGCTTGGGCTCCCAAATTGCAAGGCTCTAGGGACAATTTTAATTCTCTGTTTGAGGTGTTCTAATTGTGAAAAATATATAATTATGTTGTAGTTTAGAAAGCAAAAAAAATGCCATATTTACACAGTTTGAGAGCTGAGTTCTACCTAAGTCTAAAGCATGACGTCACCTTTCTGTACCTCCAATTCCTCACCTGTAGATTAGGGGTGAGGATGTGATGGAAGGTTGTTATGAGGACTTAGTTCGTACATGTAAAGCTCTTACAGCAGCACCTAGTCATATAGTAAGGTATGCAGATAGTTTTAAAAATAAATCTTTGTTTTAAATGTGTTCTTGGAATGGACATTTCCTCATGTCATTTTTATATTTAAGAAAAATTAGTATTTTCATATTACTGTAGCAGGAGTCCTTTGGTTTATAATATTAGGATAGTTCATTTTAACATTAGTTTCTAATGAAATAGAAACATTCTAAATGAAGTAGTTTCATTTTTACATTAAGTAATATTAAGATTTATGTTCATTATGTTTACAGAAGCACCACATTTTTAAAAACATTTTCTCACTGGGCTGTTGGCTCACATCTTGAGGTTTGGTCCTTTGGAAGGAGAAGCCTTCATCGCCATGGTAACTAAGTCAGTTTGGGGAAGGTTTGGGCACTCCAGGGAGAGTTTTTCAATTCCCTTCAGTGTTTTTCAGTTCAATTCAATGGGGCGCAGGAAAATAATGATGACAATTAGCCACCAAACACTTGAGGTCACTGCAGCTCTGGCATCTTCCTGCCAGCAAACGCTCTGGCGGATCTCAAACCCTCCTGAGCACTTGACTCTGCTGCTGACTCACTGCTGCTAAATGCACATGTGAAAACCGCATGGAGGTTTAGCAGGTGTGGTCGCCCGTGTCCAGTCCTGCCTTTGTAGTCCGCACCAGGTCACATGTTTCCTGAGAGCAAAAATCAGTGTCCTCCTTCTTTTCTTCCTCCTTCTCATCTTCGTCTTCGTGGGAAGCAGTTCCTGAGCATTTACTCAGTGCCAGGCGCTGCGCAGCACCGTGGATGCAGGCTCTCACTTGGTCCCTACAGCTTCCCCAGAATATAAGGTCCACTGATAACATATTAAGAATTAGTTTTCATGAGGGGTTTTCCTGTGTCCAACACTCAAATAAACATCTGTTGAATTAATGACCCCCAGGCCATGCAGTATATGTTATTTTGTCCCCACATTAGTGATGAGAGAGCTGGGATTGAGATATTAACGATGATGACAGTCGTCATCACTTATGTAATGCATGCCACGTCCTAGACACCTAACGTATATCAACTTGTGGAGGATAGATACTGTCACCCCACTATGTAGTTGAGGGAACGGAAGCACAGAGAGGCTGAAAAACTTGTCCAAGGTCATAGCTAGTAAGTGGCAGATAAGTAATATACCCACAGTCCCACAGGTGGTAAGGGGCAGAGCCAGGTTTTGAACCCAGATGTGGTTATTCCAGACCCTACGCTCCTGACCAGCTCTTAATGGTGCTGTGCACTCTCATTTACCTTTGCTCTTCCTCCCAATATCGATACTGTGCTTTGCACACATTTGCACTCGGTAGTTTGCTTTTGTTTTTTTTCTGTTTCTGTTTTTGTTTTTTAACATTTTCTTGGCCACGCCATGTGGTATGTGGAATCTTAGTTCCCGACCAGGGATTGAACCCACACCCCTTGCATTGGAAGCACAGAGTCTTAACCACTGGACCACCAGGGAAGCCCCTGTTTTTTTGTTTTTTGTTTTTGTTTTTGAGGTATAATTGACATATAACATTATATTTGTTTCAGGAGTACATCATAATGATTTGATATTTGTATGCATTGTGAAATGATCACCGCAATACGTCTAGTTAACATCCATCACCACACATAGTTACAAAAAATTTTCTTTTCTTGTGATAAAGACCTTTAAGATTTATTCTCTTAGCAACTTTCAAACATGCAATACAGTATTAAAGTTACTACAGGGGCTTCCCTGGTGGCGCAGTGGTTGAGAGTCCGCCTGCCGATGCAGGGGACACGGGTTTGTGCCCCGGTCCGGGAGGATCCCACATGCCGTGGAGCGGCTGGGCCCGTGGGCCATGGCCGCTGGGCCTGCGCGTCCGGAGCCTGTGCTCCGCAATGGGAGAGGCCACAGCGGTGAGAGGCCCCGCGTACTGCCAAAAAAAAAAAAGTTACTACAGTATTGGGAATTCCCTGGTATTCCAGTGGTTAGGCCTTCGCGCTTCTACTGCTGGGCCCTGGTTTCAGTCCCTGGTCGGGGAACTAAGATCCTGCAAGCAGCAAGTTGTGGCCAAAAAAAAAAGTTACTACAGTATTATTGACTATATTCCCCGTGACTCATTTTTAATAACTGCTGTTTGTACCTTTTGATCCGTTTCACCCACCCACCGCCAGCCCCCGCCTCTAGCAACCACCAGTCTTCTCTGTAGCTATGAGCTTTGTTTTGTTTCGTTTTAGATTTCATATGTAAGTGAGATCATATGGTATTTGTCTTTGTCTGAATTATTTCACTTAGCATAATGCCCTTAAGGTCTACCCATGTTGTTGCAAATGACAAGATTTCATTCTTTTTTATGGCTGATTATTTTCCATTGTGTGTGTGTGTGTGTGTGTGTGTGTGTGTATCCCGTCTCCTTTATCCATTCACCCTTTGATGGACACTTAAGTTGTTTCCGTATCTTGGTGATCATAAATAATGCTGCAGTGAACATATCTTGTCGAATTAGCGTTTTCATGTTCTTCCGTTCAGATAACCCACGTGGACTTGCTGGATCATATGGTTGTTCTATTTTTAATTTTTTGCAGAAGCTCCATATGTTTTCCACAGTGGCTGCACCAATTTACATTCCAGCCAACAGTTCACAAGCATTCCTTTTTCTCCACATTCTTGTGAACACTTGTCATTTCTTGTCTTTTTGATGACAGCCATTCTAACAGGTGTGAGGTGATATCTCATTGTGCTTTTGATTTGCATTTCCCTGATGATTAGCGAAGTTGAGCATCTTTACATGTGCCTGTTGTCCATCTCTATGTCTGGAAAAATGTCTATTCAGATCTTCTGCCCATTTTTTAATTGGATTGTTTGGTTTTTTGCTATTGAATTGTATGAGTTATTTGTATATTTTGGATATTAACCCCTTATCAAATAAATGATTTGCAAATATTTTCTCCCATTTCATAGGTTCCCTTTTCATTTTGTTGATTATTTCCTTTGCTGTGCAGAAGCTTTTTAGTCTGACATAGTCTGCTTCTTTAATTTTGCTTTTGTTGCTTGCACTCAGTAGTTTTTGAATCAATGAATGGCCTATATTGCTAATATGACAAATTCACATATGTCTCATTAGAAAAAGCTTTTCTGGAACCACTAAATGTAACTTTTAACTGAAATATTGGGGAATATTTGCAGATGTTTAAATGCAAAAATTGGCAGCTGAAATTAGAAATCATCAAGTTGCAGGGGGCTTTATCTGCCTGAGATCCTTGTTTGCAGACCTGCAAAGACCCTCATAAAAACCGCTTCTGGGCTTCCCTGGTGGCGCAGTGGTTGAGAGTCTGCCTGCCGATGCAGGGGACATGGGTTCATGCCCTGGTCCGGGAAGATCCCACATGCCGCGGAGCGGCTAGGCCTATGAGCCATGGCTGCTGAGCCTGCACATCCGGAGCCTGTGCTCTGCAACAGGAGAGGCCACAACAGTGAGAGGCCCGCGTACCGAAAAAAAACAAAAACAAAAACAAAAAAAACGCTTCTTAATATGAAATTACATAAGCTGTTTTTCTGTCATTTGCAGAGTCAGCGATTGCAAGAAAGTTTGAAGAAAGTGAACCACATCAAAATCTTGGTATAGTATATAATTTGATCTGTTTTTTGAAGTAAATAACTCTTAATTTCAGTGAGTTAGAATGATTTTCTCCAGGTTTGATGCATGTCCATGGAATTGTGGCAGCTCCAGTAAAATCACATTCTTTGGGAGAGAGTCATGCATGTACTGATGACCTAATTCTGCGGTTAGCAGAAAGCCTAGAAATTTGCCCCATATACTGTTTGAACCCATACAGTGCTTTTCATATAATCCATTTGCAGTTTTTATTCTGTTAAAATTTAGCATTGCACAAAGATGTAATAAGCACCATTGATTTCACCTGCCCAAGGATTTTTAGAACACCCATTTTCCTGAAGTGAAAAATCATTTTGTCTGTGAGTGCTTTGAGCTACTCTTTCTGAAACCCTTTGACCCCAGAGTTGGCATTTGCATGAAGGGGAATAAGGCAGAGAAAAGGGGGCGGCCCTGCTCCTCTTGCCCTGGTAATCTTCCTGAAAGATACCACCATCTGTCAGAGATTGTGCCCTAAGGCTGGTAACTAGACAAGTGGATGAGGATTTAGGGGGTCTGATAACCAAGTATCAGTTCACGTTTGAATGTTTTCATCTTTTGCTTCATTGTATTTTAGGATTTCAGAAAATATGTAGATCAGATTCTAATTTAAACAGGGTCACTGGTGTTTCTTTTGACAATTCTGCAGGATACAGTTAAGTTTAAAACGAATGTTTGAGTTTATTTGGGGTTCAGGTGAGTGCAGTTTATTTCCACTTTAGTACACAGTTCGGTTTAAGTGCGTGAATGGGGGCTGCTTGCATTGCCTTCTGAGTAGGAGCTTGGAGCTACTCAGCTGACCTGAGGTGACTCAAGTCCTAGCCTGGAAGAGGACAGTGGCCCCTCTGGAGAAGCAGAGGGATGAATGTAAGTCAGGAGACTTGGGTTCCAATTTCAGCAGTACCGCTGGGGCCCTGTGACACTGACTCATTCTGTTAACCTCCTAAGCCTGTGTGCTCAGCTGTCGGTGAAGGTATGTTGGTTGGATGCCCTTGACTGCAAACAGAGACCTAAATTATGGACTAGAATGAGTGCGCTGGTGGGGTGAAGGCAGTGCTGGGCCTGTGCACTTCCTGTCCCGCCCTTGCTGAGCCCTCTGGGGCTCCTCTTCATGTCCTCTCCTTCCTCATTCTCCTCCAAGCAGGGAGGAGCTGATGATGCTAATTGATCTCCAGTTGGTTTGGAACATCTTTGTAAGGCCACATATGGTCCAGGCATAACCCTGCTCCCTCCCTCCCTCCAGTGGCTGCTTTACTCAGTAGGGGGCACAGTAACTGGCAGACACCATGAGGCATTGTGGCCTGTCGGTAATCCACCACCACCACCATCATCACAGATGCTGTTTCTGAAATGCTTGCTGTGTAGCATACGTGGTACTAAGTCCCTTACATGCCTATTTCATTTAACCCTCACAAGTCTCCTTTGTACATGCTGTTCCCTGTACCTGAAAACACTGTTCCCCCTAATTCTTCTCATTACTGATTTCTTATCCATCAGATCTTAGTTCAAATATCACCTCTTGAGAGAGGCCTTCCCTGAGCCCCGACCCTACCTAGAGTAACACCCACCACCTTCCATCACTCTCTGGGCTCTGGGTTTTTTCCTTCATTGAACTTATTACTACCTGAAATCGTGGTCTATATTTGTTTGTTGTCTGTTTTTCCCCTGAAGAAGCCTTGTAAAGGCAAGGACTTTTGCCTGTTTTTTCATGGTTTTATGTCCTGTGCCAAGTATGATACTTGGCATACAGTAGGCACGCGAGTGTGAATAAATATATAGAATCTGTGAATTGGATGCAGTGTTTATTCCCTTTTTACTAGTGAGGAAACTAAGGCACAGATAGGTTGAGTGCGTGCCCAGGCTGCCCAGCGAGGCAGTGGTAGAGCTGGGATGCACACTCAGTGCCTGCGAACTTAGTCAGTGGACCATCCCTCTGAGGTCAGTTACAGGAGAATGAATTCCTCCTGCCTCAGGCTCGTTATGAGGGGGTATATCAGATAATGCATGGGAAAGCAAAATGAAGGCTGTCAGGCGCCGTAAGATAGAAGTAATTATTAAGTGTCTTTTGCTCCTCACCACGGTATTAGTCTAGTGCTTTCATAGGTACTGACTCCGGAATCCTCACAGTAAGTCTCTGGGGTAGAGTAGCGTTATCTCCATTTCTGTGGCTCAGATGAGTCGTGTGTCCAGAGTCCCAGAACTAGTATGTGGCAAAGCCAGGACTTGACCCCAGGTTATCACAGAAGAGCTTCTCTGCTGCTCAGCCACTCCCTTCTCCAGGCGTCCATGGCCGCCTTCCTTCCCACCTGGATGGCCCTTCAGGAGCCTCTCCCATCCCAGAAGCACAGGCCCACTGCCCCAGCTCACTGCCTCCAGCACCAAGGCCTTTTCCAGGGCCCGGGGTGGTGCTTGTGCCCCGCTTTATCAGTGCCCAATTCAGTCTCCTCTGCAGCTGCATTCTGATAAGGCTGTTGTTTCACAGGACCCTTATCCAGCACATGGAGTAGACTCTAAAGTCAGCATGTGAGGGGAAACTCTAATATTGTCACTCTTACACCTGAAAATTCCAGAATGCCTCTGGGGGGCAGTTAACATGGTTTCGTGTTTACGTCTCTGCTGGCTTTTAAGACTTTCCTGGTCCTTAGTGTACTGCCACTTTCACCATGGTGTATCTAAGTAAGGATTTTTTTCTTTTTTTAATCTTGCTTGGGACTTGTGCTAATTGAACCTGAGGATTCTTTTATTTAATCCTGTAAAATTCATTTTTTCAGCTATGACCTCTTTCTCTTTCTCTTCTGGAACACCAGTGAGCTGCATATTGAACCTTGTCATCCCACCTTCCATCAGTCTCTTGGATGCCTCCATCTCTTTGCTGCTTTCTAGTGTAGCCCTTCAGATCCTTCTTGGAGTTCAGTAATTTGCTCTGGAGCTGCATCTAATCTGCCATTTAACCTATTTACTGCGTTTTAACTTTCAGTGACCTCTTTTTCATTTCAGGATATTCTCTTTAGTTCTTTTTCAAGTTATTCTGTTTTATAAGCATCTTTAAAAAAAAAAAAGATTTCTGGTCCTTCGTTTCTGTTTAAACACAGTGATCGACGTCTGTTCTGATGGTTGTTTCAGTGTCTCGGTTCTTGGGGCCACAAATTGTCCTCTCAGCTGTGTCTGCTGACTCTTGCTCCCTGTGTGTGTTGTAATTTTTCTGTTATGAGCTAGATTTTTTTTTCTTCTGTGACTGGCCTAGGTCCATTTATTTATGTTGGTTTCACAGCTTTAGGAGTCTTACACTACAGAGGACATCACACCCAGGTGTAGAGCACGCCTGACATTTTGATTTCTTGTGAGAGAATTTTTTCTCTCTCTACAGAGCATCAGGCAGAGTTAAGCTTTCTTACTGATCAGTGGGTGGAGTTTTTCTCTCTTTTCATGAAGAATGTTTTTCAAGGGTCCTGGCTTTATGTAAACTCAGCACTATCCCTCACATGGGTTTCAAACCCATGACCTTAGACATTAAAGCGAAGTTCCAGGCTCCATCTGTGCTCCTCTCCCCCCAGCCCCTGCAGCTCAGCTTACACTATTCTTTCTGTTTTCTCTTCTTTCTGGATTCACCTTTTTTTGTGAGCCTAGCAATGATTTGAACTTCTTTTGGTTATTGGTGACATTTAATCAAGCATTTCAGGTATTTAGAATTGATGACTTAAATATTAGCTTGGTCTACCATGTTGCTGGAACCAGAATTCTATGTATATAACCCTGTACAGGATTTCTTGTGCAGGCTGACATTTGAGACCACTGAGCTCAAAGAAATAAGAAACAAAAGACTATAAGTCTTGGCACTCAAGTCATTCTGCCTTATCCTAACTGAGAATAGGGGAATGGGTGTAGAATTTTGTCACTTTGTTCCTCTTTACTTATTGGGCTTACTCCGTTCTATATAAATATTAAACCCCTCTAACTTTAAAGGTATTAATAGATTTATTTGTTTATGTGAAAGTTAAAGGAGATAGTACCTATGAAAGCACAGGAATTGGCTCAATAAATAATTGGCAGATTTGAATGTTCCTCTTGCTTGATCTGAATCACATCCACTGTCCCTTTGAAAAGCTTAGTAGAGAAGATCTTGCACCAGCTACTTCCTGTCTCTCCGGTTAGCACATCCTGTTGTGGCCCTACGAGTGAGCCATCACTGGCAGAGCCTTGGGAAATGGTTTCGAGACGAGAATTGTAGTAGTGGAATTGTTAAATGCTTAGAGATCCTCTCTCCCTTCTCCCGCCTCCCCCCACTTCAAATACCACAGTCTGTCAAGGGCATTGCCGCTCCCTTTGTGTCCTGACCCCACGGGAAAGCTGACGGCTCACTGTACATTCGTTCAGTGGAGAACATGGACCTAGTGCTGTGCAATCTTAATGCAGTGGACGTCTTCAGCTGTTACGAAATCTGTTAGTGAAGATAGTTGTCTGATGCCTGTCCCGAGTATAAGTACCGCTTCAATGATTTAGAAAAACGTAGCTTCAGTTCTGGACTGTGGTTATCCACATTGCCAGCAGGACTTGCATCCTGCCCAGAGAGTTTTACAGGGTGAGTAGAAAAAGCTCCAGTCAGTCCTGCTTGAGGTGGCGTCACTTCTGGATTCTTGAAAGCTCGGACGCTCGACAGTGATTCTAGTGCCACTTTTTCCTTGCCTTTTTTTAATCTTTCACGTTAGACCCATGTTTATCCATAATTATTAAAATTTCCTCCCACTTTTCATTTTCAAGGTATCAGTGTCAGATGTTATGATTCAGCCATGTATTCTCGGGACTGGCTTATAATTATGTCTTAAGAATTTTACTAAACCATTGATTTTTGTTTCTCTAGCAAATGAAATTAACCTTTGAACTTTTTTATGTGGTTTTTTGTTGGTGGTGGTGGGGTGTGTGTGTGTGTGTGCGTGTGTTTTTCGGCTTGCAGGAAGTTAGTTCCCCGACCCGGGGTTGAACCCAGGCCCAGGCAGTGGAAGCACCGAGTCCTAACCACTGGACCACCAGGGAATTCCCTTTATGTGTTTAAGTGCCAATGTCTGTAGCCTATTTTCCAAGCTCACTGATTGATTTTGTAGGTGTTTGAAATTTACTGTTACTTGGTAATAATCAGATTCCATCTTTTAGGTGGAGGATGAGCTCAGTTCGCCAGTGGTGGTGTTCAGATTTTTCCAGGAGTTACCAGGCTCAGGTAGGTGATTTTAAAAAGGGGGTTATTTTTCTCTCTGTGTTTAAGGGCTTTGAATTTTAAACCACTTCAAGTTAACTAAATAATCCAAAATATTTTGATTGCTAGAATCTTATCATCATTTCAAAAAAAACTGAATAATGTTCACAAGAGCTCCAGACCTTTTTGCCTTAGCATTTTCCTGACAGTTTCCTATGATTAAACCAGTGTTTTCCAAACGCCAGTCCCTGGGCTAGTGCTGGAATGGATGAGAGAGTCCCTTGAAAATAGAGCTGGGGGCCCTCCTTCCTGAGTATTTTGACTCAGTAAGCTGGATCTAGGAATCTCTATCTTTAAAGAATGTCCCAAGTGCCCCCTACCCAGTCCAGGGCTCTGTTATCTTTCACCTGACAGCCACGGTCCCCTCTCACCTGGCCTCTCACTTCCATACATTCCACACGCTCCATTCCGGGCCGCTCTCCACATCCTGCCACCTCCCTGCCCAGAAGCCTGCGTACCTTCCGTTCCAGATGGAAGGCCTGCGGGTCCTAGCCCTTGCCTTCCCCTCCGACTTCCTCTTCCTGTTCACTGTTCTTCAGTCAGACTGGTCTTCTCTGAGTCTCTAGAACACTCCACCGTCTCCTAGAGCAGGACCTCTGCACTGCTGTCCCCCTCGCTCTCGCTCTTCTGGCTCCTTCTCACCATTCAGGTCCCTGCAGCGTCCACCTCCTCATGGAGGCCCTCCCTGCCTGTCCTGTCCAAGGTGACTCCCTCACATTATATCAGAGCTCCCGCCTTCTTTCAAGGCCCTAACAACAATGTATGGTGATTTCATTTCATTTCCTTATGCTACTTCTTCAATAGAAGGTAAGCACCACCCTGACAAAAACCTTGTCTGCCTCATATCATAACCCCGTGCCCAGCACAGTGCCTGGCACAAGCAGGCACCTCAACCATTTAACAAAAGGAAGCCAGTTGTGTTCTGAGGCCTGCTGTGCTGCTGGGTCTCTGACTTCCCTGCACGGTGCTCAGTGCTGGTAGACTGGTTGGTAACTTATAATTTTATGCTTTGATTTTCCCTCAAAATTCCTTGAAAGAAAAACTTTTTAAATGAAATTAAGAATTCTATTTGTGAGAATATATTCAATTGTATTTTTCATGAGAAAAAAAAGTGAAAGCTTTAAACCCTCTGTAACATATATATTTTTAAAAAATTTTAATTGTGGTTAAAAAAACATAAATTTACCACCTTAACCATTTTAAAGTGTACAGTTCAATAGTGTTAAATATATTCACATCATTGGACAACAGCTCTCCAGAATTTTTTCGTCTTGCAAAACTGAAACTTCATACCCATTAAACACTAACTCCCATTCCCCCTTCCCCCCAGCCCCTGGCACCCACCATTCTACTCTCTGTCTCTCTGAATTAGACAGCTTTACTTCATGTAAGTGGAATCATACAGTGTTTGTCTTTTTGTGGCCGGCTTATTTCATTTAGCATAACACCTTCAGGGTATGTTATGTTGAGCATGTGACAGACTTTCCTTACTTCTTACGGCTGTATGTACTCCGTTGTATGTATGTGCCATTTTGTTCATTCATGGTGAGATATACATTTGATTTCCGGTTGAGACATTTCTCTCAGGTTAACGTTGGGAGCTAAGTGAAACGGGGTTGGAGGGGTGTTTTGTAGTTAGCTGTGTTTCTGGGAGGCGAATCCCCTCTCTGTGTTGTGTGTCAGATCCAGGACTTAATGCCATCCCAGCGCCCAACATGGCCCCGTCAGCAGTCAGCCAGGAGAGGCACTCCTGCGATGCACTGAACCGCTGGGTAAGATCAGCTGTCACGTGCCCTTTATTCTGCGTCCTGGATGGTTGGGATAACACATGGTCCTGTCTGGGAAATCAGAAACCCACAGGGGGAGCCTCTTGTGAAGGCGCGGGGCTTCGTCCTGGGCTTCTTAAGCAGACCACAGCCCCACGTGCTGCACGACTTCCAGCAGGTCCCATCAGCATTGTTCCCGCCGCTTCCTCACGGGACTGTTTCCCTGCTGCTGTGTCAGGCTGAGCAACAACGTGCAAGACGTGGCCTGCGGTGCAGCCACTTTGGAGCTCTGGTGATACCAGAAGCACATGAGCCAGACCCTTGCACGCCTCTGGCAGTCTGGCGACATGGATCAGAAGCATTATGCTTTGGCTTCTTTTTGACACTGAAATCATACCTCCTGGATTTGAGTATAAAGAATATTCTAAACGATGTAAAGATGTTCACCAGAGCAGTATCAATCCTAGCAAAACATTGGGCAAGCCCCCAGTGGTTAGGACTCCGCGCTTCCACTGCAGGGGGCGAGGGTTAGATCCGTGGTCGGGGAACTAAGGTCCTGCAAGCTGCACGGCTCAGCCTAAAAAGACACAAAACAAAACAAAAAACATTGGACATGCCTAACCTAGGGGTTTTGGTGAATAAATTATGGTACATCCACACAGTGAGATTCAGAACAGCCAGTATAAACCACATAGCTGCATGTTTACGGCAGAGGGGAAATGGTCATTGTAAATTAGGTGAAAAAATGCAGATTACTACACAGCATGTAGAATGCCATGTTTTATGACAACAGAAGACACACATACATACACACATACACACCCAGAAGATCCGGGGGTGGGGGATGGTTATACCACATGTCAACAGTGTGTGTCTCTCAGTGGTGTATTGTGGGTAAATTTTCTTTTTTTTTACTTTACCTGTATTGCCTAGATCTTTCTATAGTGAACTTATATTTTTGAGTAAGAGAAAAGGTAAAATTTACGGTTTTTAAAAACAAGGTGGTGGGCTTCCCTGGTGGCGCAGTGGTTGAGAATCTGCCTGCCAATGCAGGGGACGTGGGTTCGAGCCCTGGTCTGGGAAGATCCCACATGCCGCGGAACAACTAGGCCCGTGAGCCACAACTACTGAGCCTGCACGTCTGGAGCCTGTGCTCCGCAACAAGAGAGGCCGCGATAGTGAGAGGCCTGCACACTGCGATGATGAGTGGCCCCCGCTTGCCGCAACTAGAGAAAGCCCTCACACAGAAACGAAGACCCAACACAGCCAAAAATAAATAAATAAATAAATTAAAAAAAAAAAAAAAGGTACCGTAAGTATTCAAAGAAAATCAAAGGTGAAAGGAAACTAGCCTCCAGTAGCCTCTTGGGTCTGGGCTGAGCGGACGAGGGCAGGTCCAGAGACACTGGATTCCCTCCTTGCGGGAGTGTGTTCATTCTGCCCCTTTCCCTGCAGCTGGGAGAACAGCTGAAGCAGCTGGTGCCCGCGAGTGGCCTCACGGTCATGGATCTGGAGGTGGAGGGCACGTGCGTTCGGTTCAGCCCCCTGACTACCGCGGCAGGTAACCAGTCTCCATGGTTCGCCCTCGCTGTTCTGGGAGCACCAGTGCTGTGTCTGTCAAAGTCCAGGCTGTGATATTCTCTTCTCTCCCTGGAGAGGCTTTTCCTTTTCCTTTGGGCTGAGTTTAGGTAGATTAACCTTCCGGGGTAACTTCTCAGAAAGAGAGACCTCTGAAGTCAATTGAATTCCTGTGTTTTGATGTCCTGTGACCCTCTGTTCAGTGGTTCTCAGCCCAGACTGACTTTAGAATCCCTGTGGAGCTCTGAAAACTCCCAGCGCCTCGGCCCCACCTGCAGAGATTCTGGTTGACTGACTGGGTTTACTTAGAGTGGAGCCTGGGCACAGTAGGCCAGTGAAGGTCGAGAACCACTGTTGTAGACATTTTAGAGAACTATAGAGCTGAAAGCACGTGGACTTTTGTGACAAAGTCCTGGGGATTCTTGTCCCCCCCTCGGCCATTTCATACCTGTAGGATCTGGAGCAAGTTTCTTATCTCCAGACCTGTTCCCCACCACCTCATAGTGGTGACGTGAAGATTAAACTGTGAGATCATGAATATGAAATAGCTTGGATAGTGGTTGGCATATTTTATAGTAGGCACTTAAAAATAAGCTGAAAAGAGATGCCTTAAAAATCTGATTGTGCTTTTTTCTGAGACGATTTAAACATTTTCAGAAAATGTTTGATGGTTTTTCATGAGGTGTTTTCAACATTTTTGGAAAGATATTTTCTCAAAAACATCAGAGTGATGAAGTGCAGGCAACTGTCCACAGAAAAGCCATCGTGAAGATAGCCAGTGGCCTCCAGATCTTCCAGGAGTCTCTGCTTCTGCTATGCAGGGGGCCTAGCCCCAGAGGTTTAGCCTCTGAAACTGGAAAAGCTAGCTGTGGCTACCCCAGGCCACTGAGGCTTAGATCATATAAGCGTTGGAATCAGCAGAAGTGAGGGTGCAGTGATGTTGCCAAGACTCTTGCATCCCTGAACCCGGAGACCTCTCAGGCTCTGACCTTCAGAAGCCATCATCACCCTGCCCTTCTGCCCCCCACCCTTGCCCCCTGAAACCCCTCTCTTTCTCTCCATGTGAACATAGAGCGAGAACTGTGTGGACGCCTCCTTGTTTCTAACCTGTGCTATGATGTTTATAACCTGACTTAAGCAGAGTCTTTCTGTGAGAAGAATCTGATTTCTGTGGTAGGATTTCATTGTGTATTATATCGGAGAGGCTAATTCTTCGGTGTAAGGAAAAAATGTGTCTACACCTGGGCAGCCAGCTATATGATTTTTTAACACCTGATTCTTCCATATCTGGGTTTAGTGGGTTTTTTTCTTTTTTTAAACCCCTCAGCTCAGCTAATGTGCTATACCTAGAGCTGCTGACTTTCTGACAGTAGAAGTGGGAGCACTGCCCCCTCATTTTTAGCCATTCCTTAAGCGTTTGCCTAACATTCTGTGCACGTGTTCAGTTTTAGGAACTCGGGGAGAGGATGTGGATCAGCTCGTAGCCTGCATCCAGAGCCAGCTGCCAGTCCTGACCTGTACACTGCAGCTGCGAGAGGAGTTCAAGCAGGAGGTGATGGGAGCAGCAGGTCTCTTATACGTTGATGACCCAAACTGGCCTGGAATAGGGGTTGTCAGGTACGGTGTAAAGACTGTGGGTGGGTCATTTTGTGAACCAGCTTAGAAATCTAAGATGACTGCGTGGAGTGTCAGTGTTCACGTCTGATGAAAGTTCATCTAGATGTGCTGGGCATTTACAAGAGCACAGCGGGCAGGCGGCCCAGCGCGCACTGAGTGAAATAGGAGTCGCTGTGTTCTTTCTGTGCCAGCTTGAAAGTTACTAGGAGAACTACGTTGGGTGCACCACTGACGTGCGTACAGAGAACTACAGCTCACTAAGGAGAAGCCAGTTCCCAGTTCTTCTGGTTCAGTGTGTGTCCCTCCTGTGGCCCCTTCGTCCCCTCTCTGGATCAGGGAAGCCTCCTGTTCCTCTTACAAGTGATGGGACTTCCCAGCCTTGCCCCTCCTTCTACATTTCATGCCCCTGGAGACTTGGGCTTCCCTTGGGACTTTCTGGAAAGGTTTGATCTTGAGACCCTCTGAGTGGCTCCTTTGCCCTTTGTCTCATTCCACATCCTTGGTAACTTCCAGTAGCTTCTATTCCACCTGTTATCTTGTGTCTGAAGAGACACTTGATCTTGTAGATTGCTGAAGTACTGTTATGTGATATCGTTTATAGGTATGAACACGCTAATGATGATAAGAGCAGTTTGAAATCGGATCCAGAAGGGGAAAAAATCCATGCTGGACTCCTGAAAAAGTTAAATGAACTGGAATCTGACCTTACATTTAAAATGGGTAATTACTCCTTCTAAAGTCAACTGTGAACTTTGAAAGCTGTTTTCTAACTGGTTTGAAGGGAAATGGTCTCTCTTAGCTATTTAGATCTTCCCAGGGTGATAGAGCCCTCTGCCCCTTCTGCAGCCTCTCTGGGTCCGATCTCCTCATTAGATCCACGTCCTCACCCCCTCAGGGAGGCTCTCCTGTGCCTGGTTGCGCTGCTGTACAGGGAGTGGCCCGTGTCTGAGGACTTGGGAACCAAGTCAGTCTGTTGTTTCTGCCCGCAGGCCCTGAGTATAAAAGCATGAAGAGCTGTATTTACATTGGCATGGCAAGTGATGACATAGATGTTTCTGAACTAGTGGAGACCATTGCAGTCACAGCCCGAGAAATCGAGGAAAACTCCAGGGTCTGTAAGACTAATCAGTGTCTCATTCCTTTTCTGGGTTTTCCCTGGGCAATTAGCTGGAGTCACAAAGGAGGAAGCTACCCTTGGCAGTGTCTGTTCATTCCTTCTTTCCCCAAGTTTTTAAAGGCTTCCTGTGAGCCAGGCATTGTGCAGGCATCAGGGATGCCGGTGATGTGATGCGGTCACTGCCGTCAGTGAACTCACAAGCCAGAGTGGGGAAGAGACGCATGTGAGCAACTGAGGTAGTAAATGCTGTGGACAGAAGTTAGGGGAGGCTGTGCATTCAGGAAGATGTGTTCGCCTCTGCCTGACAAGGCCAGGGAAGAGTTCCTGATTGGAGCTGGTCCTGAGGCTGGATGGGATGGTGCTTCTGATAACAGAACTTTCCGCCAGTAATAGACCTACTTCTCTTGGCCAGTTGGCACGGAGGACCAGGCTTGTCAGACTTACAGGACGCTCTCCACACCAGATATGCGAGTTACTAGAAATTACTCAAAAGGAGAGAAAAGGGACCAAAGCAAGACTGGTCTGAGAGGAGGCAGAAACCTGTGTCATGTGATTCACTTTTGGTAGTAGGGGTGCGGAAGAGAAGGGAGTTTGAAATGAAGCCTAGGAGCCAACTTTATTCATTCTTGGGTGGACTTCTTGAAGTTTCTTCCAAACCCGCCTATATTACTTCTGCCTCTGTCTCCATGAATGTTGAGAGTCATGTCTGTTTTCTATTGATACGACATTCAGATCACAGGGACAGTTATTGCTGTTCCCTGGCAAATGAGGCTGGTCACCAAGGTACGTCTGCCTAGGCCTCCTTTAACATTTTGACCTCTTCTATTTGACATTCTGTTTTATTTTTACACTGACATTTTAAAGTGCCATTTACTAATATACTTTTGAAAAATGTCCCCAGCGCTATGTTAATAGTTCTAGGCCTTCAGCAAGAAGCTTAGACAAATAATGCCTTTCTTGGTCTTAACACAGCTTCTGGAAAACATGACAGAAGTGGTTCGGAAAGGAATTCAGGAAGCTCAGGTTCAACTGCAGAAGGCAAATGAGGAGCGACTTCTGGAAGAGGTGAGGCTCCGGGGTGGGCTCCCCAGCTGGCCTCAGGCTGGGCGCCAGCCTCCACAGGATGGCCTTGAGCAACGGTTATGTTTTGCAGGGGGTGTTACGGCAAATCCCCGTGGTAGGATCCGTGCTGAATTGGTTTTCTCCAGTACAGGCTTCACAAAAGGGAAGAACTTTTAACCTAACGGCAGGTAGGACTCTCTTTCATCTGGAGAGTTTTGCCAGATGATGCCCTGGGATCCCACACTCGTGCTGAGGGGCCTTGTCCATGTCCCAGGCTTTACACCAAGCACTGGGCCGGGACTCTTGTGAGAGGAGGCGAGATTTGTCTGCCCCTGGGACTCTGTCATCTTCCCTCTCCTGCCCCGACAGCTGAAACAGTACGAAAGCAGGTGCCTGTTGCCCACAGCAGACTCCTCTTGACCTCAACAAGAACGCGTTCACTCAGCTGTTCAGCCCTCCAGACAGTGTGTCTTGGACGTTTTGGTTCACTGTTAACATTCTGTGCAGTCCTCATTAGTGTTTTGCCCCAGCAGAGAGCTGCTTTTGCCAGGGGCAAGTGAAAGATTAGAGTCTGTAGTGCTGAGCCATTTTATTTCAAACCAGGCAACTAGCAAGTATTACCAGTTGCTGGGATTTGGGGAAGATGATATTGAGCTGCAGGCCCCTCCTTTCCTGTTCTACCAGTGGAATAATTCCCTGAACCTGGGGCTTCTTCCCCAGGAAATGATGACTACACTGTCATATGACAGCAAGGGATAATCTGACACTGAACCCGCCAAACCTTTAGCAAAGAGGCATCCATTCCTTGTTGCTAAAGGACATTTCCCATTGGGGCCTGGCTCCCCAGGCACACTTGGGCCACACTGCTGTCTGGTTGTTTTCACACGTACACAGGACACGTGGGGAGACGAGGCTGAAACACCCCAGCAGGGCCGGGACTCACTCGTGGGCACAGCTGCGAGATGGCTTTGTCATGTGCTTCCCGGCACATGTCAGGAGACCCGGGGCCTCCCCCAGGGTGCCTGCGCCAGGACCTTCCCCCACACACACCTCCCCACCCCCCTCTTTTCTGCAGGCTCCCTGGAGTCCACGGAACACACATACGTGTACAAAGTACAAGGCTCGGGAGTAACACCGCCTCAGACCCCCTCAGGCGCCCGCACTAAACAGAGACTTCCAGGTACGTCACGTCTCCATGTTTGAGTTCGTTAACACTGAAGAAAACTGGTTGTATTTCCCTTGGTAAAACAGACCTTTGCATCATGTAACGCCTAACCGTTTGGTATTACCTGCATTCCTCTGTTTTCTTGATTCTTCAACCCAAAGTCCTATTTCTCATCATTTAAGGACAGCTGTCACTGTCCCTTTAGCTTTTTCAAAGCCTTGGGGAAATACCTGGGTAGCACTCCCTGGGGGAAGTCAGGGTCTGGATAGCTGTCATGCTTAACCTGGTGTTCACTCCCCTGAGCTTTTCCCAACTGAGGTTCCCTCAAAGTCCTCGGCACTGGGGGCGTGTTAATGTCATATCAGCTCTCATTTCTCACCTCATCACTTAAATGCTTCAGAGCCAGTGATCCCAGGGGTTTCTGCCGAAGCAGCTGTGATTAAATAAAGCAATCACTTAGAGCACAGACAGCTTCCGTTGCAGGGGTGTCCTTTTCCGAGCGTTCAGTGCTGTTCATTGATCTTCCTTCTAGGCCAGAAGCCTTTTAAAAGGTCCCTAAGAGGTTCAGATACTGTGAGCGAGACCAGCTCCGTCAGTCACATCGAGGACTTAGAGAAGATCGAGCACCTGTCAGGTGGGCAAGATGCCTCGGAAGCTAACAGCCCTGAGCGGCACCCAGGGGTGCCCACCCCTCCAGAAGCCGAGCAGACGGGGGCCCTCCAGGACAGGGCCCAGCGCCTGGAAGATGACTGCCCACAGGTAGAGGAGCCAGAGAGCTTAAGATAAAATTCAGTGTTTGCTTGGAGACTGTACTGAATATTGTTTCAGGGAAGATGAAGTTATTCTGAAAATGTGAACTGTGCCACATGCTAGTATGAGAGAAATTACTGTTATTTGTGCTTAACTGGGATTTTTGCACAAAAATGTGCCTGAAAGCCAGGCTTCTGGGAGGGCAATTGACTTGTCTAATTTTGTGGGTATGTACTGATAGAACAACCAACAACTACTGTTTCTGTCTACCCAATTGTAATAATACCTTTTTCCCCCCAGTTACCATAAACACTTTTTATTCACAGAGAAAACTTAGAATTTCAAGTGCCTGCCACTTGAAACACTTGCTCTCATCTTTCTAAACACACGTGTGAGAAGTTACTAGGTTGCACATAATAACCCTTCGGTAAGACAGCTTTCTTTAGAACTCTCTGGGTTCTCTGTTGTCCTGCTGCAGAGGAGACAGACAGCGTTCTTTGCCATCTGTTTTGCTTGGTGTTTAGTTTGATCAGGTTGCAGTATACAACTGGATTGCGTTTGGCTTGAAGGAGAGTGGGTTTCAATGGGATTGTAAATAAGAGTGTCAGAGGCCCTCTCCTGCCACCCCCGATCGCTGCTTCCCCAGAGACGTCAGGAAGGACCGTGTCCGCTCAAGCTGTGGCAGGGTCGTCAAGCAAGTTAGACTGGACAGTGCTTCTGTCTGACTTAGCTCTGCCACAAATCCATTTCTCCCTTTATATACTATTTGTAAACAAATTAAAGGACTCATCTATTAAGGGTAACTGTAAAGACTCTTCTTGACCATATTATATATATATATATATATATGTGTATATTTTTAAATACTGATAAAGCTTTTAAATTGGCACAAGTACAGACTACTTATTTCTATGTTTAATATCTGAAAACTCAATAGATGCTACTCTTAAAAGCCTCGTATTAATATGCTGTACAGCACCTCGTTACGCTGAAATTCTAAATTAAGTACACCTTTGACCCGTTCTCGTGGGAGCTTCTGTAGCTTCTGTTCCACTAGCAGCTCACCCTTTTGGGCCCAAATCAAACAAGAACCAGAAATGTAATCTTTCTCAGGCTGATCACGCCAGACTACTGCTGAAATAATTGGAAGTAACCCTTGATTACTGCCTGTTCCTACTCTTCCAAAAGTACTGCATCACTTCGTTTATCATAGGTAAGGGCCCCTGTGCCTTTTCGTCCAGTGAAGTCAAGCTACGGGAGACCTTAAGGTGGTGGGGATTCACATTGGGTTTGTGGACTGTAGTACTGAAAGCCTTAGTTATACCACATTAAGCCTGTAATTACACTCTGATCTGATGTGATTTCTGACATTTGGCACTTGTCAAAATGCAATTTTCCTTTTTTTTTTTTTTTTTTTTTTTGGTGCAAACGATTAAACAAAGTCTTCCCTGTTTATTTGGTGCAATGAAGTATAGCAGATAAAATGGGGGAAGGGGAAATTATCACCTTTAACAAGATTAATTTTTAAATGTTTTTATATATATTTGAAATTGTTAAATTGGTTTTGCTGAAACAGAATTTCACCCTTGAGATACTATTTGACTGTTGGTTTCAATAAAGGTTCTTGAAATTGGTACCACTGAGTTCACTTCATAAATCTTAGCATTAATTGGGCATGGTAACTTCCTTTTGGATAACAATTTCAGAAAAATAAAGGTTTCTAAAAATATAACATCAGTTTTGGATTTGATGCTTCTAAAATATTTTGAGGTCAAAAAAAAAAAATCTCTGTGAGATGTATAAATTCTCACCGAACTTTACTGCATTTTAAGTAGTTCTTTTAAACAAAATAGATGACAGTTTTTCCCTTATTCATTAATTTAGCAGAATTAGACTTACCCAAGTATCTGAAATAGCTGCTTATAGCACAGTGAGAAAGCTGGCTTCTCCTCTGCCTCTCATTACTAACCAAAAAGTAAACCTAAACAAATACCTTTGCCAAAATAAGATTTTATTTTAAAGTCATTTGAAAAACACGGAGCAAGGAAAGAGACCTAAGACTGAATGGATGTAGAATGGATATTCTTTCCTACCTCCACCAGTGGTCTTTTGTCATGCCAAAAAGTTGCTTTCTTTGGTAATTCCTATTTATTTTTAGCTTCCTGGAGAAGAGATCTTTTCCCATAAGCCATCTTCATTTTTTTTGTAGAGTAGAGCCTTATTTCCAAGAAACAGCGTGTTAGCCGGAGAAGGGTATTTCTTTAAAAACATCAAGGTAGATCTAATATGTTTAACAAAGTGGGGGGGCTCAGCCAGAGGTGACGTGGAAAGGTTCTGGAAAAACAAACAAGATTTGGGGCATGAGAGAAGAACCCTGCTCTGTTCCCTACTTTGATAAAGATGTCAGAGTCTCTCTGTGCTCCTTAAACATTAATCAGGCTATTCTCAGATCACTATATATATATATACACACATATATATGTAATTTGTAAAATTACATAAGAAACGAGGTGTCCTGGGTTAATGAGAACAAAACAGTTGGTTGCCTACTGCTGCCCTGTGTAGATGTCCATCCAGGACTCCACTTACCCCTGACTGATACAGCAGCTAAACAGGGTCTGCCAATGGCATCCTCCAAACACTGAAGGAAAAGCTGCTGTTATCTAGTCTAATCCCTTTTTTTTTTTCCTTACAGATGAGGAAACCAAGGTCCACAGATTTAAGATTTACCCAACCTGTAAATTCTCACCTCTAGTATTTGCTTATCATCTTGCTGCAACCAGAAATCCACATGGGGAAATGGCATCCAGGAATATGGTCCTATACGAAGTTGTTCTGTCTCTGCATCGTAAATACTAATCATCTAAAAAAGAACGTTTCAAGGATAGAATTTAAGGAATGTTATCAGCTTAAACCCTACCTTTAATGCAAGCTCCAGTGTAGTCTTGAAATTAAGGCATTTGTCTGGATGATAAGCTTCTTTCAATTTTTGTCTCATAACTAACAGGAGCTGCTACTTACTGAATACTTTCCACCTCTCTGGTACTACACTTTGTGGGAAACAGACATTACTTTGTTTAGTTCTGACAACAGTCCTGCAGGAAGATGGCATTTTTCCCATTTTGGTTGGAAACCCGAGGCTCAGAGAGACGGGCCCGTTGCCCATGGTCACACGTCCATAAGAGTTAGGGCCAGGCCCAGACCCAGACCCAGGTGTGTCTGACTGAAGTCCACACTCCTCAATGCTACATGAAACACTGCCTCATTATTCACACCCCGAGTAACCTTGAAACTTAAAAGTACACATGCCGTTGCCCCATCAGAAGAAGGGGAAAACCAATTTGTAAAAAATGTTAATTTGCCAAATGATCAATTCCCTGAATTCTCAAATGTGCCAATGGTAGTTTTCAGCTTCACCAGCAATGTTCAATTTTGGTTACTGAGACTGAAATATGTCCTGAATCTTAGCTAAATCAAGGCTGTTATGCTACTTGAGAGGCTGCAAAAGGAACCCTAACAATGTCAAAGGGTTGGCAGAACAGACCATTGAATCCAGACATTTCCAATGAAAGTGGCAGTATTTCATAAGTGAGCAGATTTCTTTTGGGTGCTCTGAATGCGATTTCTATTTTTTTCACACTTTAAGCATTTTAAAAGGATTCTTTCACCCATTCCTCAAACAACGTTGTAAGTCTTAGGTTTTTATTTTTCTAACTTTTAAAATGAAGGTGTTACTTAATTAAAAAGCACCCTAAGGCAATCAGACTCTTAAAATGATTTGATTATTTTGGGGGTTAATCAATTCATCCCAGCAAACCGGTCTCCAGTTACTTGGTCCAGAGGAGAGTGTGATCCTGAGGTGCAGAGGGAAGAAGGCTCTTCTTCCCCCTTAGCTCGCCTTTCTCTGCAGCAGCTTCACTGGCAAAGTCCTTACAAAGTAAAAGGGGCTCGTTCTCTTTGGATCTGGGTGCTGGGTGTTCACATACCTCCCCAACATCTTTACAGCAGAGAACTGGGGTCTTGAGCTTATAACTGAAAACGTTCATTATTATTCTACGTGACGTGTTCGTGATGGTTCCTGATCGTGTACAACTTTAAAGAAGTGACAAACTTTTCATTTCTAAGGTCTATAAAACTTAAGACTTTGGAGTTTGATGCCCCCCTTTTTTCCTTAACCCTGTAACACAAAGATGATAATCAAACTCACTGGTCCTCCTGTTAAAGCTCGTGCGGCACGTAGCTCCTCCTCCGGACCTCGGTCTTGGAAGGAGGCTCTGTAGATCTCCGAGGTTTTGATGTTGACAGCTGTGAGGGACAACAGGATGACTTCCTTGACAAAAGCCACAAGGGTTGGCACAGTCTCACACTTCTACCACCACATGTAACAGAATATGGATGAGTCTCCCTCAGAGAGAAAAAGAGTGGAAACTGAACAAAGTTACTCTTAGGTGTCTGTAGCATCTACCTTCCTGGAAAGTGATAATGCAATCCTTTAGCCAAGCATCTCGCTGAGAAGAGCTGAGGCTTGAGCTGGGCTAGGTAAGACCTGGTTCCAAACCAAGGGCCCCCCCACAGGAGGCGTACCATCTCTTCAGGCAGCACGTGGCAAAGCCTCCCTGGTCAGCCCTCTGACCAAACACGGCTGCGAACATGGCCTGGGACTGGGGCCAAATCTGGTGTTTGTGTGTTGGTTTTTACTATTTCAGACATACAAAGTATAGAGAATAAAGCAGTGAACACCCAGCCAAATAAATGTCACAGATACGGCAGGAGCCCTCTGTAGAGACAGCCAGGCTCACCCTATTACAGCCTTGGGAGTCCTAGGGGCTGTTACAGGAGGGAGGAAAGTTCTGGGTTTTCTTTAGCCTGGTGGTTGCACACTTTCCTTTGTAGGATCTTTGTTCTCAATCAAAACCTTAATTAGTTCCCTAAGAAGGGAAGAAGATTGAAATTCAAATGCCCTGCTCCAGCCCCCAGAGCGCTGGCTGGAAAAAAGCAGAGAGGCCTCTTGGGGGAGCAGAGACCACTGACATTCAGCTTTCCCCTAATGGGGGTGATGCCTACACGCTGTATTTGCTACCCTGTTTCTTTTCACAGCCTTAGGATTTGGATGTTTTCTCTCTTTTGTAGATAAAGGTTAGAGAAGGTAAGCTGCTTTCCCAGCAAATACACCGAGAAGTCAGGATCAGAACCTAAGGCTGTGACACACCGACAGCGACGGGCTTACTAGCTGGTGGAACCAGCCTTTAACCGGAGCTTGTCTTGTCAGTGTGAGACCAATAAACCCTCTGATCAACACGCTACTTACCAATGCCATAAATTACTGGAAAGTGGTTTTCATTTTCTTCCCGGTCATTTAATTCTAACACGTAAAAAAAAGAAATTTTAAGATCAATTTTTAATAAATACCAAACAATCGCTTTTATTTTCCATAAATAAAGGCCAAGAAGGAGTCCCCACTGCAAAAGGGGGGGAAATCAGAACATGAAAGGGACTGTGTCCCTGTTTCCCCGCTGAGCCCCAGAGCAGTAAGGTTATAGCGAACAAACCGCCTCTCCAGAGTCTGGGCCTCCCAGCCGCCTACACGCGTGGCGGCAGCTCCTCTCCGGAGTACAGAGCAGACTGCTGAGAATCCCAAGGAAGGACAGAGGAGTTGCACTCAAGGGGGTGGGTCAGGATCTCAACTGAGGTTGAGCAGGATTTGGAGTGGGGAGGGCGGGGAAGGCCATCCCAGAAGACATGGGAAAAGCCAGAAGGCATCAAAGCATTTGACAAACAGTGCCGCCTGCGACTGAGGCACGGATGCTGGGTCCTGCTTTAAGAGCAAGGGCAAAACATCCCCGAAATCTACAGCTTTGCTTTGGGAAAGATGGCAGAACTTACCTGTCACACATAATGTCACCAAGTGAATGTCATCTTCCTGTCTGTCAAATTCACCTACGATGAGAATTTAAAAACTGATGTCAAACAAGTTCCTTTAGGGACTTCCCTGGCGGTCCAGTGGGTAAGACTCCTCGCTCCCAATGCAGGGGGCCTGGGTTCGATCCCTGGTCTGGGAACGAGATCCCACGTGCATGCTGCAACTAAGAGTCCTCACGCTGCAACTTAAAGAAGATCCCACATGCTGCTGCAACTAAAAAGATCCCGCATGCCACAAGGAAGATCCTGAGTGCCACAACTAAGCCGGCACAGCCTAAAAAAAATAAATATTAAAAACAAAACAAAATCCATCTGCCAATATGTAAGCCAGTTCTGAGCTGTGTGCAGTATTCAAAAGATTTCAGGCATTTGACACACAATTTAAAAAAAAAAAAACTTCCTTTAATTAGCAGAGCATATGCTGAACAAGTCAAGAAGGGGACAGAGAGTCGGATCCACTAGCCTTCCGGTCACAACCTGGCCTCTTATCAGAGGTCAGATCCACATGAGCTGATGCCCAGAACCCTGCCTGCCAAGGGACAGACGTGCTCCTAGCCTCAAGCTCAAAGGAAACTTCGACCAAGGCTTTCCATTCTTCTCTCCATTCTGAGAGGCTGGGGGGACAAATTCATAAGATTTTTACCCTTTTCCTAAATAACTTTTTTTTCTTGATTATCAGTCATAAAAAATTTGATCATTATGAAAAATTTGGAAAAT